GTGTTTATAGTATGGTGGTATTGCTGGGTGCAGCGTTTGGCAACCCCAAAATTCACCTTCACCAAATTGGTGGATGGCGAACAAGACAATCATGCTTATCCTTATACCTGATGAAATCGCAGATTTTCAGTGACCTATTCGTATAATTTTCATCGTTTTCACCTTCTGCGCCCAGTGAAGTATGTATTGGTGGATAATCGAGATATCTTTTTTTTGGCTTTTTTAGTTTAACAGAACTGACGGTTTTAGTTTAACAGAACTGACATACTTCCTTTAAGACCAGACCAACTGATGTTCTGACGGGTGGTGTGGTCTTGGATTTATTTTTAAAATGAAACTGCTCCAGAAAATACCGGTAAAACCTATTTCCCCTCAGGTTTCACTAAACAAAGATTTGTCTTGAATGTCAAGGAATGTCTTGAACCAATGAGCGAAAAACACTCTGTCTCAACCAAGAGTTTGTTGTTTTTGTTTGACACCTCACTCAGCAAAAATGCCGGCTATATGCCGGTCTCTAAATATCCAGTGATTGACATCATGATCATCGAGCTACACAATTGGGACTCGATGACATGCATCAACTAAATCACCAAGCCTGACCACCCGGTTCCGGTGCCTCTTACAACAACCATGGGTTGCTGAAATCAATTCTAACCCGGATATTTCGCAGATCCAGCTCTTTGTAGTATACCAAATGTCACACCGGGGACGTATATTTGATTCGAACCCACGATCAGCATATCACGGAGTGGCTAAGGGACGCAACGGTGCACACTGAGTACGACGCCTTGGGCCACAGGGCCATGTGCGCTCTTAATGCCAACAGTGAGTGAGTGAGTTGGGTTTAACGTTGCTTTTAACAGTATTCCAGTTATATCACCGCGTGTCAGTTGAATGTGGGAGGAAAGCCCGTGATGCAGGTCTCAGACGTTTACCACTTCGATGAAACCCACGAGCACGGGTATGGTGCTGACAAACCTAGAAACATTATTCGGGCGAACCGTGATTCGAACCCACAATCATAGGTTTCTGGCGTGCCCAAGGGACGCAACTCTGCACAGAGAATCGCGGCGCCTTAGACGACTAGGCCACTAATGCCAACAGACACCAAGTTATACCAGCGTAATAATCCATGAACAGTTGGACTTTATACGACCTAAGTTGATACACAGCAGTATGATCGCAGTTCCTTCAAACGTTAGCAGTCGCTGAGGTTAAATCGAACCTAATAGAAATGTCTGCAGCTGAAGTATCCAGTGTTTTATAGACCCTAATACAAATGTCTGCAGCTGAAGTATCCAGTGTTTTATAGACCCTAATACAAATGTCTGCAGTAGAAACATTCAACGTCAGTGTTCAGCAGTGTTCAGACAGGTTGCCATGCCTCTGGATTGCGTCTTCCTGCGTCTGCTACAGAGCAGAGAAGGTGATTTTGTAAGGTCTTGTGTTATGGGATTCGCAACAGTACCACAGCTCTCGCGTTTCGGAATATTGAATACTGTCTCACCATGGTAACCCCAGCGGGTAGCTGATACATCGTGACCCCTGAAGACCCGGGGTAGAATGGGTCTTCAGCAACCCATGCTTGCCGTAAAAGGTGACTATGCTTGTCGTAAAAGGCGACTAACGGGATCGGGTGGTCAGGCTCGCTGACTTGGTTGATGCATGTCATCGATCCCAATTGCGTGGATCGATGCTCATGATATTAATCACTGGATTGTCTGGTCCAGAGTCGATTATTTACAGACCGCCGTCATATAGCTGGAATATTGCTGAGTGCGGCGGCGTTTAACAACAAACCAACCAACCAACCAACTGATACATCAAAATTCACTGTTACCCAGTATAATGGTCTTTAGCAACCAGTGCTTGCCGCAAAGGCGATCATGCTTGTCGTAAGCCCTGACTAACGGGATCGGGTGGTGAGGATTGCGGACTTAGTTGATATATGTCATCGTATCCCAATTGAGTAGATCGATGCTCATGTTAATCACTGGATTGTCTGGTCCAAACTCGATCTTTAACAGATGCTGTCAGCAATTAAACAACAAACAAACCGTTTTGTGTCGTAGTCACATAGCACTTTTATCCAACCATATTAAACGCAATAGGAAACAGAGCAAAGAAAATATAGAGTTTGTATCAAACATCGACTGTCCATTGCAGCCTACTACAAAAGGTCTTCGGTGTTTACGCCATCAGGAAACCGACACCTGAGAAACCGTCCATCGTGTTGAAAAAAACCGCGACACGCATCGGGGTAATACCTACATACAGCGTCTGTAGTGGAGAACGCTACCTGACACTACTCACGTCTACACTGAATCAGACCGACTATTAAAACATCCATCAGGATATGAATGGCAACGGAGGACCGAGTAAATATTATGGTCAGGTTCATCTGTCTGAAGATCTATGATTCCGTCCCAGACGCATTTCCAGCAACTGCTCAACAGTGGCCTTTATCTAATCAAGCCCCTCCTTAACCATCCTCGACAACCCTACTCACGGTTATGCGTGACAAGTATAAACGAGGTGCCATAATCAATATTTATAGTACTCAAAACAAATTAAAGAACAACCGCAATTTGAAAACTGCGCGTTGCAATCCCACCAGCCAGGGGTGAGTGAGTGAGTATGGTTTTACGCCGCTTATAGCAATATTCCAGCAATATCACGGCGGGGGACACCAGAAATGGACTTTACACATTGTACCCGTGTCGGGAATCGAACCCGGGACTTCGGCGTGACGTGCGAACGATGTAACCACTAGACTACGTGAAAAACGGCAGTTCTTCAACTTATTTTGAGTAGTATATATTCTGTCAGTAAGTTGTACAGATCTCGAAATCTGAATCAGGAATCAGTTGGCTAAAATGTAACTTTTTTTTTTCATGTTATAAATGACATATTTCGGACGTAATCCTATTCCAAGGTCTCGTGTTGTTCTTTGTGTTAATTTGTGTTAGGGAAGTGGGTGGGGTGGGGTCTCGTTACCTGTGGCAGTGAGGTAGCCTTGTGATTAAGGCGTTCGTTGGTCATTACGAGAGCCCGGGTTCGATTCCCCGCGTTAATGGGGACAATGTGTGAAACCCGTGTGTGGTGTGACCCCAATTCCATTGTTGAATTGTTGCTAAAAGCGATGTAAAGCAATGCGTACTCATTCAAGAGTTCAAGAGGGTAATGTGAGCAAAATACGTTCACCCAAAACACACCATGGTATAAGCAACACAAAAATGAAGCAGCGATTCCGAGTTTCCGACAACCAAATATTCAACTTAAGGGAGTAAGTGATTTACATAATTATTCTTCTCTAAACAGTAGTTAGGTCCTTAAAAAGATTGCTCTCTTGGTGTTCAATTTGCAAAGAAACCCGATGCAGGTATACCATTTTGTTGAAACGCAAGAGCGTGGGTATGGTGCTGACAGCTTAGAATAGTAAACGTGTCGAATCTGGGATTCGAACCTACAATAGAAGATTCTGGCACACTCAAGGGGCGCAACTCAGCATAGCACATCGCGGTGGGTCACCAGTGCCCTTCGATTTAAGATAACCGATAAGCATATACGAGTTTCTTATAGATTTTTTTTATGGTATTAAAACCGAGGATACACCATATGCCAGATTACCCTCGGGATCAATATACTATTGTTCACATTGCAACATTGCGCTCACGCATACTGCATACCTTCCCTAATGAAAACATTTATTAAATCATCAATATGTACAAAGATTCACATATGACAACTACAATACGTCTTACGTCAGCAGCAACAGCACAGTCAGCAGAAACGTTCCCCCGACGTCACTGACGACTCTCTAATGTAACATATTGTTTATCATACATGATTAGCGAACGACGACGAGCAAAGCAAACATGGTAATTAACATCATGACATTTGCGTAATGGTTGTAAATTCAAGAGAGTCTTCGTAGGTAGGGATCGATATCTGGATTCTTCCATGTCAGCGAGACATGATGCTTTTAAACACTGCATCACGTATCTCATTGTTGTGACGGACATGTAACGTACTCGTGATGGTTGACAAAACGTGACATTGAAGAAACCCTTATTGGCGAATAAGTTTGGTTTTGCGCCGTTTTCGCAATATCACAGCGTTGGATGCCAGAAATGGGTCTTACGCATTGTGACCATTTTGGGAATGGTGCCCATGCAGGAATCGAACGAGGGTTTGACTAGGTGACGAACCGACGCTTTAACCACTTGGCCACCCTCTTCCTATGTCAGATAAATAGACATCGAAACATTGTCAGGAAACAGAATGATACATGATGAAATCATTCTCTGAAATCATTCACATGTACAGTGAAACTACTTTTTCCGGATCTGAATGTATGTTTGTTGTTTAACGCCGCGTCAGCAATATTCCAGCTATATAACGGGGCCTGTATATAATCGAGCCTGGACCAGACAATCCAGTGATTGATATTGAGAACAACGATCCATACTGTCACGTCATCAACCAAGTCACAGAGCCTGACCACCCGATCCACTGAGTCTCCCCTAAGGCCAGCATAAGTTGGGGGCTCATTCTAACCCGGGGTCGGGGCGGTCAGGTAGCCTAGTGGTTGGAGCGTTCGATCGTCACGCCGAAGACCCGGGTTCGATTCCCGACATGGGTACAATGCGTGAAGCCCGTTTCTGGTGTCCCCCGCCGTGATATTGCTGGAATATTGCTTAAAGCGGCGTAAAACCACACTCACTCACTCCAACCCGGAGTCAATCACGGGATATTTTCAAAATATGGTAAAGCGTTGTTTCGTAGCGGATACGTGAGCATTCTGCCACAGGGCATATTATATACTCTTCGCCTGTGATATTCAAGATGTGCATAAATGTTACAGTACAAACAGATTTTTCGTACGATTGGAAAGCGTCTTTGAAAATTGAACCAGAGAGTCACACAAAGACTCACTGGTTAAGCCATACACTGAATAAAGGGGACATGTAACATCTATAAGTCGAAAAAGCACTTACCTGCACTGGCAGAAGGAGTAATGAGTAAGAATATCCGAGTCATCAAAGGTCAGAATCCTCACAAAGTCATCATTGATCAAGGCACACAAGAAAAAGAAGGTTACTAGTCTCTCGTTTCTGCGCATGCGCTGTAGCAATCATCACCCGGAAAGGACAAATTTAAACTTTTGGGAAGAAACTCTATTACAAGTTGATTTGAGCCTCTCAATAAATCAGAGCCTCTGTGGCACCGAGGCCAACATCACCAAGCTGTTAGGAGAAAGGTCTGCCGTGTCGATTTTTCGTTACGCAAGGGTCCGATCGCTCGGCGATGTACATCGGATAAGAAACGTGTACAGTGTTGATCGATAGGCGACATTAACCACGGACTGTCCGATCTGCAGTCGTTATTGCACCGTGTTGTGTTACAAAAGATGGGATTCTTACGCAGAAGCAATAACATGTGTCTTAACCAGGTGTCGATATCGAAGTGGCTGATGCGACAATATGTCTACCGCATCATGTTGCGCTGACGAGGATATGCAGACGGGACAACGATGCACGCACTCATATCCATGACATACCCAGGACACAGGAGTGAATTCTGTCTATAATATATGAGTTTGTATTACAAGAACTTGCAAGAGGTGATCGCACGGCAATTGGAAGATCCTCTGGAGCGTAAACACGTGTGATTGTATCATGAAAGCGGTTGATATGATTCAATAGAATTACAATCTGGACTGCGACTTCACCCGAATCAATACACACAAGCAGGAGGTTGAATTTATAGATGGATACTCAAAGAGGAGCAATAATTACCTTTCTATGCAAATGTAGGTTTACGTGTATTAACGTAATCTCGCCATGTGAACAGTGAAAATGATCGCAGCATTTGGAGGACTCTCTAGAGCATAAACACGTATAATGGTATTATGAAAGCGATTAATATGATTCAGTTCAATCTTGACTGCGACTTCCACCGAATCAATATACACAAGCGGGATTGTGAATTAATTGATGGATACATAAAGCGAAGCAATAATTACCTTTCTATGCAAATGTAGTTTCACATGTATTAGTACAATGTTTGTTTGTTTGTTGTTTAACGCCGCAATATTCCAGCTATATGACGGCAGTCTGTAAATAATCAAGTCTGAACTTGACAAGCCAGTGATTGACATCATGGGCTTCGATCCACGCAATTGGGATCGATGACATGCTTCAACCAAGTGAGTGAGTCTGACCACCCGATCCCGTTAGTCGCCTTTTACGACACACAAAGTCGCTTTTTATGGCAAGCATGGGTTTCTGAAGACCTATTCTACCCCGGATCTTCACGGGTCTATTCGTACAATGTATCGTAAAGGGGCCGACCCAGACAAAACACAAACATGTCCTTAGGTTTTACCAAATGAAACAACTATTCGCTGGATATACTGTATGTCGTAAAAAGTAAAGGTTTGGCTGCTTCTTTCACAAAAAACGCGTGTTTTAATTTGAAGCGGTGGGCGAAAAAATATCCTTTATAAACAAATCCAAGGCCTCTTTCCCCTATGATATTAGATGGTGGGCCCCTTACTGGTGAGTAGGCCTTACGCCATTTGAGCAACACTTAAGCCATATCACGGCAGAGGGACACCACAAATGGGCTTCACTCATTGAAACCATATTGGAAATCGAACCCGGGACTATGGCATGACGGCCAACGTTTGAACCACCCCGAATGATCAGATCAGAATGATATTCCAGCTACATCACAGGGGCTTCTAAATAAGTATTCACGCCACACGCGCTTTGTATTCCACTCCCACCAAACATTGCATGGGATGAGCGTCCACGAACGTGATGTCAATTAACACGTTTTGAAGAACCTACCTCAGAGGCTGGGCTGCTGGAGGATGAGAGCACATTTTATGACATTCAGAAAGCTCCCCAAATAAACGCGTTCAAGGAGGTCGAAGAATAAGGATAAAACACGACAGAGATTATGATTGCAAGTGGTTGCAAATCCCTAGGGATAGGATCTGAATAAAACATACTTGAGGATGACTGCTTTTATCATTTACTTTCAAAATTTATTTAAAAAATATCGCGCGGTATGATATACTTGAGTGGCTTGTCCTTGATACAGGAGTTGATTCGGGCGGCTTCTTGACAGTGTCGCACGTGCATGGCAAAGTGTCTCGGTACAAAAAAGCCTACTGTTTGTTTAACCTGTCGAAACCAATGTATCTTTTTTAAAAACTCAGATTTGATCTTTTATTTTATGACAATTATTTTATATTTAGTGAGTGAGTTGGGTTTAACCCCGCTTTTAACAGTATTCCAGTTATATCATGGCGTGTCAGCTTAATATGGCAGGAAAGCCCGAAGTGATGCAGGTCTCAGACGTTTACCACTTCGGTGAAACCCACGAGCACGGGTATGGTGCTGACAAATCTAGAAACAAAACGAACCGGGATTCGAACCCACAATCATAGGTTTCTCGCGTGCCCAAGGAACGCAACTCTGCACAGCAATATTACGGCGGGGAACACCAGAAATGGGTTCTCACATTTTACCCATGTCGGGAATCGAACCCGGGTCTTCAGCGTGACGAGCGAACACTTTAACCACTAGGCTACCCGACCGCCCCCCCCCCCCCCCCCCCCCCCCAACCATAATCAAGCTACACGACAGCGGCCTGTAAAGAAATGAGTCTGGACCACCACACAAACCAGTGGTTGATACTAGAGCAGCTATCTACGCCGCAGGGGTACAACGACACGCTGTCAAGAAAATCACCGAACCTGATTACCTGGTCCATTAAATCGCCTTGTACAAGCAATCGGATCCTGACATGCAAGGGGCGCAATTCCGAGCAACAAAGTGGTACCTTAGACATTGGGCTACCCGTTTCCAGCTTTACCAGATTGTTATTCCTGTTAATACTTAATAAAAGAGTAAACGGTAGGCTGTCTGAGTAATATTGATAGTCATCAAAGCTAGACTTTCGTCTTATTGTGTTTGGTTTTACAGCCTCTAGTATACAAATACCCATGGTAGGAGGGCAATCCAAATTCCTTGCACAGAAAGCCGTCCAATCGATAAAACTAGTTTGACTTGAAGTTAGATGTAATTTGACTTTATTTATTACCATTTATTGAACCACGCTTTTGATACACTGGCTATGAAAAGGTCGCCGTCAGTCCAGATGAAAAGCAAAGTAGAATGGATTCTCTTGCTATTCGACTGTGGCCTTTTTAGTCATGGTTTCAAATATATAGCCACCAAGCTGATGGGCATGTAGAAATGATTAAATATCTCAAATTAATGAGTTTTCAATTCAAGATAGAGAAAGGTTGCATCTGCACTTTAAAGGCTGTCAAGTGGAGATATAATAAACAAATCAATGTCTGTGTGGAGATTTCCACCGAGTCGGCAATAAAATGCCTTGGCATCCTGTAACTGACAGTTCAATATCTATCAGCAGATTTCCCAAAGGGATGATGCATCAAAGACACATTTCCGGCATGTGAATTCCCCTGTTAAACCTGACCGATATGTTTGTGAATTCACTAAACAAAACCCATGTCCCTTCGAAGACTTACTGAAATATATCCCCATGTGCTGAATTGCAGAAATTATTACGGTATTATTTATTACTAAATGTTAATTTTCTGTGCCATGACAGACGTATTATAATAATATGATAAAATCAGGCGTTTTTTAACTCATTAAGGAAGACATGCAATGTCTGTCACGTCATTTTAGGCTGCATTTAGCAATATTCAAATTACACATGGTGCCTTGGAAGTCACTTGGCCTGGGCCTGGGAAACTAGTGATTGATATCATGATGACTATGTTTGAGGTTGGGTATGATGACGACCTATCAGCCAGGTCACAGTCATAACCAGTCTTCATTTTGGTCTTCTGACAAGCATACAGAGGAACTTGAAAATGGTCGATCCCTGGCCTCATCGTACCAAAAGATGTCATAAGATGTTACTTGTTGATACCCTGCCTGATGTTTGGCATCAGGTGGATAAAACAAGGACTGGTCGGCTCGGAGTCAGTATACTGTGTCTGAGTGGGGTATTCATGTTAAACTGTGGCATGGTATATCAGTGAACTCGTGCTGTAGTTGAATTTGACCTAGTTTAGATTCCTCCTGGTGGTGCTAATAATGTACGCTGAGAGAAACTACTGTTAAGTTCTCGCGAGAGACCTCGTCACAGACGGGAGTATCGGCAAACATTTGGAAGAGGTCTGAGAGAGGAGTATTAGCCTGGCATAGGGTGTAGACATGATCAGGTTTAATTGCTGGAGTATTGCTGATCGATTGTCATTATCCCAGACGGGTTTACAAGGAAATGTAGGAAGTGGAATAAGGTAACATGGTTCGACGCAATACGCTTAAATACCTCAATCATGCAAGGAAGGGTTCAGTGAGAGCTTCGCCAAACTGTTCATCTGGATATGGGAGTATTTGCTAAAGTGATCTGCTGACTGCTTCGGTTAAGTATTTTGAGGGATAGTAATGTATGGAACGGATTAACCATTGATTGATCATGATCAAGTGGAAAATGATATGTCCTCGAATATTATTTAAATGTTTCACATTCCACAAATTTTGTCCTGCTAAAATAATATATGTATATTTTTATAAATATTATTTACCAACTCGGCCGCGTGAATATAAACTCTTCACAAAAATAGGGATACTTGGAAATAACTTAAAATTTCGAAACTTGTAAGGGATATTAGTTTCAAGTAATTGGGAATTGAGAACACATTACAACCGATGATGAAGTATGACTATAAATGTTAAGACCGCCAACGATCGGACGATAGGGGTGAGATTGGAAATTTCAATGTTTTCGTTTTTGGATCAGTGGTGCGTAATACTGCCACGAGTTGCCACACATTTATTCACTCGACCAAGCATATTGCGTATGAGTCTCCCGTTGGCGAATTGAGGGAGTCTGTCCCACTCCTCTTGCAGCGCCTGGCCAAGTTCAGCCAACGTGAGCGGCGGCCTATGACGTTTACGCACACGTCTCTCTATCATGTGTTCAATGGGGGAAAGTGCTGGGGTCACTATGGATGTTGTTCAGTTGGAAGTGGGCATTGGCCATTCGTGCACGGTGAGCGTTGTCGTCCTGAATAGCAAAACGTCGACTTACAGACGGGCCAACAGAAGGGTGTGCGTATGCTGTCCCGATTGT